TCCTTCCTTCCTTCCTTCCTTCCTTCCTTCCTTCCTTCCTTCCTTCCCTTTCCTACCTTCCCTTCTTTTATCTTCCCTCTTCCCTCAGTGGTCACGATGGCAACTGATTTAACAATATCAGTGATGGCTGGCCGCGGTCATGAAGCAATTCATCCAAAGTCATTAACTGAGATGTCATGTGATCATAACCTGCAACTTCCTGATGGCTTCCCCAATGAATACAGGTAGCCCTTGACTTACAGCAGTTCATTTAGTGACTGTTCAAAGTTACAATGGCGCTGAAAAGTGACTCATGACTATTTTTCACAGTTACAACCTTTGCAGCATCCCCATGTTCATCTGAATCAAAATTCAGATAACAGATAACAGATGATCAGAGTTGGAAGGGACCTTATAGGTCATCTAGACCAACCCCCCACGTAAACAGGAGACCCTACACCATTTCTGACAAATGGCAGTCCAATCTCTTCTTGAAAGTCTCAAGTGATGACACTCCCACAACTTCCGAAGGCAACTTCTGTTCCATTGGTTGATAGTTCTCACTGTCAGAAAGTTTCTCCTTATTTCCAGGTGAAATCTCTCATTGTTCAGTTTCCATCCATTATTCCTTGTCATTCCTTCAGGTACTTTAGAAAATAGCTTGATCCTTTCCTCCTCTCTGTGGCAACCCCTCAAATATTGGAAGGCTGCTATCATGTCTCCCCTGGTCCTTCTCTTCACTAGATTGGCCATGCCCAGTTCCTTTAACTGTTCTTCAGATGCTTGGCAACTGGTTCATACTTATGACCATCGCAGCATCCCGGGGTCATGTGATCACTTTCTGCAACCTTCTGACAAGCAAAGTCAAGGGGGAAGCCAGATTCACTTAACGACCATGTGACTAACTTATCAACCGTAGTGATTAATTCAACAACTGTGGCAAGAAATGTCGTCAAATGGGGCAAAAGACACTTAACAAATGTCTCACTTAACAACATAAATTTTGGGCTCCATTGTGGTCGTAAGTCGAGGACTACCTGTATGTCAGAAGCCAGTTATGAAGGTCACAAATGGCAATCGCGTGACCATAGGACACAACAACCATCACAAATGTGGGCACACATTTAACCTGTGAGGACTTCAACTTCTGGATTTCCCCAACCAGCATGCTG